ATAGTTATGGTAACAGTCAAAACTAATAGATGTAATGTACCTAGGACAGTGTTTAGAATATAACAGCTATTTAATAAATAATAGCTATTCATATTATTATCTAAATTATCTAGTTATCTATTATCTAAATAAAAGGATACCATTAATACAAAAAGAAGACTTATCTCTCTGTGGCTACAGACCTCCCCTTAGTTCTTGAAGGGCTCAGACCCAAGTGCAAAAACCAAGAAATTCAACTTCGGGCCAGGAAGTAATCTCATGAAATAAGATTTGACTATTAAGACTTTTTTAGAAGTTTTATATTGGACACCAGAGTATTCTTCACTTGAATTATCCAAGACGTGTTTCACACCACAGCCAAGCGGCAGGGGACACAGGTGCTGCCACTTTACAAACAGCTACTCCAAATGGCCTTCATGTGCTTCTAAGCAGCCTTTTGGCCAGAATAAACATTTAACTTAGGAAATATCTCAATGCAGACAAACGAAGTTAGAGATGGCAATTTGGCCACAGCTGGGAAAATTCATCTAAGGCCAGTATTTAACAGGTTCTCATGAGGCAACAAGTAACCTTTAACTAACAAAGTTTTGCTCCAGATGTCAAAGGCTCCACTACAAATATCTACATTATTTATGGGAACTAAACCTGTTGCCGTCGAGTCGATTCAGACTCATAGCGACTCTATAGGACAAAGTAGAACTGCCCCATAGGGTGTCCAAGGAGCACCTGGTGAACTCAAACTGCTGACCTTTTGGTTAACAGCCGAGCTCTTAACCACTGCGCCACCAGGGCTCCTTAGGGTATGAGATTTAACATTACAGACTAATCATCCATATGTGCATATGTAGACTATCTTTTAATGTGAATAAAGCTTTTTACATCAAACTGCACCACAATATATTTCTACAGAAATTTCATCATTAAATATTTATTTATTCCAATAACACATTTTTAAAACTTAGTACAAATGAATCCTCCAATGTCACTGGCCATACTGTCACTAGACCTAAATACCTAAAATAAAAATAGGTAATCTCTCCATAAAGAAGAGGGGGAAAAAACTAAGAATATAATGTTGATGGCCTTACACATATGCCACACCCACTTAGATTACTGAGGCGGGTTAAGTAAAGCGTAAATTGGGCTACTAATGCGGAAAGATTTAGATGTGGGACCAAATGACCTGGATTTAAAGTCTCATTTCACTCCTTACCTGCTCTGTTTTTCTGAGGCAAATCATGCCATGCTTTCAGTTTCTTCATCTATATTATGAGAATAATACTGGCCCTACCTACCCTACTACAGGGATTACAGGAAAATGCTCTGTAATGGATACCAGGGGAACATCATGGTACAAGCCATTCCCCCGCCCCCAACTCCCTTCCCTGGCCTTCTACCGCCAATCAGAGTAGCCAGACTTTCATCATATCTATGTACTGGAGTTCCATATAACATTCTTTTTGGAGAAAGCATTTTGATGAAAACATAAATTTGTAAAAAGCTAAATTATATACTAACAGTTTCCTTTTAAAACAACTAAAAAAAATCAAAGACATTGCACAATTACTCTAAAAATTATTAAAAGCACTTCAGATTTTTCATGGCAAAAGGTATCCATTATGTATACATAAAATCCCATAATGACTGCTGACTAATCAAACTGATTCGTTAAAGAATATTTCAGACAATTATAGTGAAATCTAAAGAAATTCCCACACAGATTCAAAATAATTATGTTGTGATTATAGAATTATTAGTAAGTCCCAGAACTGCTGCCAGAAACACAATGACAGCTATATTTAATACAGAGAACATTTGAATACAGCTTTGGATACTGGAAAGATTACATTTAAAAAACACGAGCCTCTCTGTATTGTCTGGGAAGCAGGTGACAGCAGTGCTGTACGTACACATCCTTGGTTAAGCCAACAGTTTAGTTGGCAGTGCTCCAAGGGGAAAAAAAGAAAAGACCGCACGATAGACACAAGATTAAGAAGTTTGTTTTGTTTCACCGTTCTTGAGGGTTGAGTGAACACAGAATGAAAAGGCTCTATGACATATGGTAACAGATCAGCCTCTGCTCAGAGAAATAAAATAATGGGCTGGAAATCCAAACTGCGGCCCAGATCTTCATGATCCCCTCTAGACATCCTGAGCAGCAGCTACCATCGCTGGACTTACACTGACTCCTAGCCTTTATCTTGGTTTCTCCAGTGTGAACATTCATTAAAGTGATTTACTCTGTTGGACTGATGGTAGAGACTTCCGCACCACAACACTCTGCATGTCAGCAGAAGGGGTGCCATGTAAAACCGTCACCCAAAACCAGAGAATGAGCGTAAGCCTGCTGGCATACAATTATGCTAAACTACCAAGAAAATATGAAATAATTTGACTTCACTAAATCCTTCCTTTCCTGAGCTTATTTATACAATATTAAGTGCTGGCAAAATCCTGGGCAGATATAAGATTGTTATGATTACAGATTTATAATCAGTTTCCTTGTTTAGAAGATGGTCATAACTTTCTTAGTCAGATTCCATTTACACAGGGGAATGTCTACCATTTAAGAAAATCCAAACATATGAAACAGATCAATTGTGGGTGATTACAAAAGGACTTACAGCAGGGGTCTCATTTTCAAAATGGCATTTGACTTTTTTTTTTCCTAGAACACATCTAATGGATAATGTGAAACACAACACCAGTTCCTAAAACTGAGTTGTTCAAAGGATTTTCTTTGGAGTTTAAACATTTGCACAAAGAATCTTAGTATCCTTTATTAAAGTTACCTCACACAAATTACAAATTCAAGACAATGTATAAGAGTTAGCCATACCCGGCCAGTATCAAGAAGGTACAATTTCATAGACGTAGGGTAATAATAACACTCTAAAAAAAAAAAAGATGGTTAAAAAAAAAAAAAAAAAAAAAACACTTGCTAAATTTCTGCTTTTTACAATGGTTAAAAAGTTAATTTCATGTCTTCAGCTTCACTGAGAAACAACTTAAGACAGTCCAAAGTCAACATGGTTTCGAGAAAACATAACAAACGATGTAAATAATTTGATCATAATAAGATCAAAGACCACCTAAAGTAAAACTTTAAAAAATATTTCCTAGCAGAACCGAGATTTACCCATTCATTCCCTCCAAAGAACAATCTAGTCAGGGGTTGGGACTCTACAGCAGGTCTGCCAGAGACGACACACGGACTGCTGCCATCACCACGATCGTCTTCCCTGACGCTTCAGAACAGACGCGGTTTAGTCAAAAGCAGCCCCCGTCACAGGGGCCCTCCCCTCAGCCCACCAGAATAACAAGGGTCAAGAGCAGGGCAACTACACTTTAAAATGGTGACCAGTCCCTTCTGCAGTGATGCTAGAGAACAGAGAATGGTGTAGTAAAGCCTGGGTTTTACCAGTGATCTCTCTTTGTAAGAAACTTAGCATTTCTGAGCCACTTGAACATTGTAAACCTGAGATTGCTCAGAGGCAGTATTTAGCTGTGGTAGAAAGCAATCCTAGAACCAAGTCCCCAGTGTCCTAGGAACTATTTTTGGATGACAAGGATTCTTTGCAAAGTTGGAATCAAAAGATTCACAGGAAAAATTGTGTGACCGCTCCTTAATGTGTGCTCCCTGAATGACACACTACACCCAACAATGGGTTTTAAATCAGAGGTTTTTCTCAAGCAAATACTAACCAGAAAATGGCAGAGGTGTCTAAGTACACACAGTAGTCTACAGCATGATCCATGAAGGCAGCATCGTTGGTCTACATGTCTAAAGGACTGACCTACGATACTACATACTTGGGCTTCTAATTTCTGACAAACAGCCCCCTGCGCCTCTAGCAGTACAACTCAGCACTTGATTTTCACGCTCCTAGAATTGGTCAATATTCTCCTAACGTGAATGTCACTCATTCATCCAAGCAACTACTAAGTATTAAGATCACCTACACAGTGACCACTCCTAAATGTGTATCTCAAGCCCGGACCTCCCCTCCCAGCTCCTGACTCCTATTACCTACAGTCTTCTCTTGCTTGTTCCAAACTAAACTCTGGAGAGCCCCGACTCAAAATCTTTTCCCCTCCGAAGGACCACTATTCACACCACTGCTTAAGGCAAAACCTTGAATGGCTCTCTCCTTCCTCACCCCAAAGACCCTCCCCACGACCCCACAAGAACCCCAGAGGCAAATACTGTCGATCCTCCTTCTCCAGAATACTCCAAACCCGTCCACTTTTCTCCATCTTTAGCAACGTGACTCTTGTTCAAGCCACCATCACCTCCTGTCTAGAAGAGCTCTTAACTTCTCTGTTCTCATCTAGTTCTGACGCCCTGAAATCCAACCTCCATGTAAGAGCCAGGACAATCATTTTCAACATAAATTAGTTCATGTCACTCCCTTGAATTAAAAGTGCTTTAGTGACGTTCCTTTGCACTGTGAATAGAATCCAAATTCCTCGCTATGCTCTTTGAGGAGCTACACAGTTTGGTCCCTGCCTGCCTGCCTCTCTAATCGTATTTTGGGTCACCCTCCTACTCGCTGACTCCATTCCAGCCATGCTGCCCTTCTCTCAGCTATTTGAATGTCCCCGAATGACTCCCCCACTGGGATCTTTGCCCACGTGACTGTCTCTGCACTGGCGCTCTTTCTGTAGATCTTCAGGTCTCAGAGAAACAGTACCTTCCAACGAAGGCCTTCCCTGACTAGCCAGGCTACAGTGCAGCCCTTATTATAATTTTCTTCACAACATCCTTTTCTTTTCCTTCTCAATGGTTTTTAATTGATTTGTAACACATATTTACTTGTGACATCTACCACTTACCTCCATCTTGTTCATAAATAAATTAGTATTCAGCAGCCAGTTTAGCACATAGTAGGCATTTTAACTTTTTACTGAAATTAACTAATGAGGACAAGCACCTAAGGCAAGCCTACTCACAAACATATCCCACTGGCTAATACAATATGCAGTTAAAAAGAACTTACCTTGTCAATTTTTTTCTTTTTTACAGGGGGGTCAAACCTATCATTGACTCCAAAATACTCAGTAAGCTCCTTCCACTGGGTTTCATTTGAGGATTGTTCACTGCAAGTAGACAATACTTTTATGTAAAATATGCTCATTTTTATTTTTACTGTTTTTAATTGGCTACTACAATTATATTACAACTAGGTCTTATGTTTGCACAGTTTCAGAGATATATGGCTCATTTGTACAAATTCTACAATACTGCCTGGTATCGGTAAATATTTTAAATTCTACCTACCTACAAGATGTCTCTTCATTCTTCAATTTACCTGAAAAGAAATCACAAACTGTTAACACCTATGTATTCAATTGCTATTTCAAAATTATGTTTTTAAAAAATTACTGAACTCAATTAAGTCAAATTTAAACGTGAGCACTACTGACAATTAAACAGAATTAAAATAAACACCTTTCCTGGAGCGGTTTCTTTTTTTCCTCCTGAATCCTGAGGTTGAGGTTTTCTGTTCAGAATGTTTTTTATGCAATTCTTGAAATTTCTATATAAAAGTGGGGGGGGGGAAGGAAAAGCAAATACATTTTGAAGCAAGGCATGTATTTTAAAAATAAACTTGCTAGGTATTAAAAATAATTATGTTCTAACATTTACAAAGATTATCAATTTAATAAAAGTAGTTCGGTTCCTCTTGAGATACTCTATTCTCTGAGGCTCTCGCAACCTGTGTTTTTACTTTCGTTTCTTTCAAAGGAGTAAGTCGTGATCACCTGAGAATGAAATTCAATGATTCATGCTGATAAACAAGGGATAAAATTAAGTCAGAAACTCCTCATGTATCATGTTAGGCAAAGGAGCTGTTTTTTTTTTCCCCTTCCCTCTGTTATGAAAACAAAGCTAAAATGAAAGCAATTACCTAAGTGGCCAATGGTTTGACCATAGATCCCCAGAACAGTGAAAGTATTACTCTGAGTGAATCTTCTCCACCTATTATCTCCCAAGAACACATACGTTCTGACCATGGTGCGTGTGCACGCATGCACACGCGCGCACGCACACATGCACTCACATAGATGCATAGGCTTTGGTATGAACACGCTAGAGAAGACCTACATTCCACATATGTAAGGAAATTCCGGAAGGGCACTCTTCATATGCATTTACATTTGCCTCTGTTTCAGTTTTTTGTCCATCTGTCGGGAAATCTGAAATTTCTGTATTTCTAGTCATCTGATCTTCTTTAGCTTCCTGGAAGTGAAGTCTGGAGTTTTCTGATGTGGCTTCATCTTCAGAATTCAACTCAACATCACTTTCATTGAGTCCAGGAGGCAGCAGCCCACTCCACATATTTTCTTCTATAGGGAAAAACATGAATTTAGACATACAAAGTAGCCACAGAAAGAATTTTAAAAACATTAAATGACACCTCAGGAGCCTAATAATTATACTACCTGGGAACAGTCCATCTAAAATTTTTTTTAATCTAAAAATATGCCAATATTGAAAAATGAATGTTATGCCATTAATAAAAATACTTCTTCTGTTCTGAGAACTAGGGGCAGGAGGGCAGTAACTGGCTCCAATATGACTTTACCATAATCTACCTTTGGGCTCATTCTCCATTTCAGGACTTAACGATAATAACAAATTTCAGACTTAGATTTCTTAGCATAATTGGGGTTCTATATCTGAAACCAGTTTCCCTCTCCATGGCATCTTTCTTTCATTCCAAAACATTCGCCTGTCCACTGTGTGCTAGGCACGCTTTTTTAAAATTTTATTTAGTTGTTGTTGAGAATATACACAGCAAAACATAACACCAATTCAAGTTTCTACATGTCCCATTTAGTGACACTGATGACATTCCTGAAGTTGTGCAACCATTCGCACACTCCTTTTCCAGGTTGTTCCTCCCTCATTAGCATAAACTTACTGCCCTCTAAGGTTCGTATCTAATCTTTCAAGTTGCTGTTGTCAATTTGATCCCATATACAGAGTTCTTAAAAGAGCACAATGCTCAAGGCAGACATTTTCTTACTAGTTAAGCTAAACTACTGTCTGGTTTTAAGAAGACTTGAGGGGATATTTTAGCTTTAAGGTTTAAAGATTATTTCAGGACGATAGTTTCCGGGGTTCATCCAATCTTCATGGCTCCAGGAAGTCTGGAGTCCATAAGAATTTGAAAATCTGTTCAGTATTTTCCCGTTTTTGATCAGGGTTCTTCTATAGAATCTTTGATCAAAATGTTCAGTAACAGTAGCCAAGCACCATCCAGTTCTTCTGGTCTCCTGGCAAAGTTGTTCATGGAGGCATTCAGCCACACATTCCATATCCTCCTTCTATTCCTGACTCTCCTTCTTCCTCTGTTGCTCCAGGTATGCTAGGTACTCTTCAAGACACTGGGAACAGTAGTGAACAAAGCAGGCAAAATTCCCAAACCTCATGGTGATGATATTCTACACACATGGCAGGTTCTGTCTATCAGCAACCAAAGCTCTCTCAGCCAGGACTTCTGTGTTGATTGTCCGTGAAAGGAATGTGCCTCTCAGATGGTCAGGGGCACAGATGTCCCTATACTTCTGCTTCCGCATCTCTGTGTGCTCTGGGTGCCCAAATGTGCCTCGCCCAAGGGAGCAGTCTCAGGCACCCTGGAGAGAGTATGCCTTTCCTCATTAGCCCTCAGGCAGTTAACCATTTTAGATTAATTTTCAACTTTCTCAGAATTATCTATTTCTAGCTCTGTCACCAATGTGGCATTAAGTTGTCTTAGTGCTGACATTTACCTGCTACAATAATCTCTCATGTATACACAGCAGAAAGAAAAATTAAAATAACTTTTAAAAAATACGAATTCAGCTCCAAATCCACAAACAAGGCAAAATTCAAATAAGGTATGTTTTTGAACTCAGTTCTTGAAAACCTTTAAAGTGATGTGCATCCTTCTGTGATGTAAAAAATAACAAAACAAAAAACCACTGGCAACACGGTGGCCACTGCTGAACACGAAAGAATGCTGCCACTCACTCTGGACCCGGACCCTGCGGCGTGGAGTTGCCCATGTGAGAAGCAGCTCAACTGTAAATCAGCCAATGTGGAGTGGCTGCTTGCTGAGTTTTGCTTTGAGGCTCATATTTGAAAACACTATCTATTTACAGCATATACATCTCACTGATAGGTTTTCTAATTGGTCTGTATCAGACCTCTTATTATCCCTGTTTTGGCTGCTCTGGAGGATGATTCTTTATTTTTTTGAAGTACTTCCTGCTCCATGCCTTTCAAACTGCATTCCTTTATTTTAAAGCAGATATTCCCAAATTCCCTTTAAATGTAGTAAAAATTCACTCAGCCATTCTTGAGAGATGTCGTATACCAGAGAAACAGAAACTTAATCTTTTAATGTAGATTATAGCCAGGTATTAATTCACAGGCCTTTATTTTTTAGTTTGTAATCCAAATAATTTTTCATTTAATCATTTTGACCCCAAGAGAGATGTAAATGATTGAGAATCCCTTTTTCTCTCTATGGTTTTAAATATCACCTTCTCCTTCATTTTATACCCCTCCTATCTCTAGAGTTAAGATTTATTCTATTCCACAATTATTCTACAAAAAGCATTCCATGTGCACTACACAGAACACATGTTTAGTCCCGGACTGACAAAATTTACTATGAACTGAAAACATTTATGTACTTTCCTAGTCTGAATGGCTGGGTTTTCTTTTGCACTTGAAAACCAACCATAGTCACTATTTAGCACACATGGGCAGCCAGCAACGCATCAAGGAGAACATGACACAGTTCAGCAGTTCCTAATCTAAGGTTTTTACAAAGTTTTATGAAGACAGTAATGGAGATCTCTAAGCTAATTTCAATATTCAAAAAGCCCAACATATTTTCTTTTTCCTCCCAATGAGATGGTATGGTCCACCTTTTGGTGAGGAGACTTACTTTTGGTAAAGCAATATTCTTCACCTCATGTTCATCAGAGGCTCTGATTGGTAGTTATAGGCCTGCTTTTTGATAAGAAAAAAATGAATGAATGTAGTTTAGTAGACACAATCTTTCAAAATATAGTATCAATGAAAATATCAAATTATAATAAAAGGGGTCTTAGTTGTGAAAAGATTGGGAATACGGTCATGAAAGTCAGAAGACTGGTTTGTAGTCCTGAGCAACATGATTGTGGCAAGCCACTGCACTTCTCCAGGTCTCCATTCTTAAGGTATAAAATGAAGGGTTTGATTAGATGATCTCTGAGATGTTGCAGCTCTAAAATGTTTCTTTATGGATCTTAATGTTACATGTGCCCCAAATGCCCAGTTATCTCACTCCTTGCTGCAGCCACTCCTCCTTGTCTGGTCTCAGACAATACTGACTAAACCTAAGAACCCCACTAGATAAGGTTTCTCTCCTCTACTTAGCAGCCACAGTCAAGATGGCTAGTTTTTGGTGGGACTTTGCACTTTAGATCCTGTTTGATGCTCTGGAGAAAGGGAAGGGAAGGAAACTCCCAATTACGACAGAAGGCAGAAGAAATAAAACAGGCATACACACAATATGACAGGCAGTGTATACCATTAATCCTCACAATGACCCTTCCAGGCAGGAATTACTTCTATACCTTTTTTACAGATGAAGTGGCCTAATGTGTTCTGATTTGCTTATTTTATAAAAATAGAACCCTATGGGTTTAAATTATAAACTTTCAGAGGGCAGAGTTGGTTTCTGCTTTTTTGTTTGCTTGTTTTTTAAGGTCAGTATATTCTTTGAGACAAAGGTTTGAGAGTGGGTCTGAAGAACGACCCTTGCCTGTAATTCTACACCTATTGAAGTCTGGTTAAAAAGAGCATTTTTCTCACCATGTAAGTACAAAGAGCTATGTATGATGCTACACTAAATCACATACATCAAAGTCACATCCAGAGATTCGAGTGATAATGTCATATTTTCTGGAAGACCAACCAGCTGCTCATAAACAAAACCCAGAAGATATAACGTGAACAGCTGTCTTATTTCCCATATGCTGTATTTAATTTGAAGTAATCACAGAAATCTGAATCTTGTCAGATCTGATTATAACCTTACTTGCACCATAATCATAAACCCACCAACCTGAAGATCATGTTAAATAATGTTACACAATAATCAGTTTCTGTGACTTAGAACTACTTAATTAAAACGTTTTTAAGCATGTATCACCAACCCTAACGCAATCGTTCTATTTACTCTTATGAAACAGATGTGCTTGCTTTTCTCAAAGAGGTACACAAAGTACAACTGAATAACACGGCCTCACTTCAGATTTAACTTACCAGTCTGATTATTCAGATAAACTATTTAGCAGGATTTTGCATGTATGATTACGTTTTAATTACGGAGAGCGCTCACTTTTTGTTTAGTCAAGGCCTGGACAAGTGGGGACAAACATTTCCCTAGACCCAAGACCCCGCACTGAAAGATTTACAATTAACCAGTAGCATGCCGCTGTGAGAATACTTACAAGATTCAAGACTGCAAAGGGGTGGCTCTAGTAAGGTATACCTTTTCCTGCTTGGCTGCACAACCCGGAATTCTGCAGATTCTCTGGCAGCAATGTCACACTTCAACCCCCAAACGGGAGGAATCCCCTAATCCCCGGGGACAGGACTAAGCGCCGCAGATTCGGGTGTAGGATGTCTAGCCTGTTGACATTTCCAATAACTGTAGCTGTTTCTGGGATACAGCAATTGTAACCATGAGCGTGTTCTCCGCAACGAGAGCCTCCTCACCCTCTCGCACTGTGGCTGGGGTGGGACAGAAACCCTCTCCCACTAATAGACTGGGAAGGCGCGGCGGCGCCCCTTCCGAGACCAGCGCCACCGACGCCCCCGTGGGCTCCCGTGCGCCCCGGCTAGCGACTCTTCTCGCCCGCTCCGGGGCAGTTCAGCCGAGAAGCTCCCTCGCTTGCCCGCAGAGGACCCTCCCGCACCGATCACACCGGAGCCGAAGCCATCCCGGAACTAACCTCTCAATAAGCCGTACTCACCGGTCAGGAAGCATCGGCCCGGCCGCCATGTTAAGGCACCATCAACATACCGCCTTCTCATTGGCTCTGACCTCTCAGCCAATGGGTGGGGGCCGTTTTGGCCGTAGGGTCGCCATGGCAACCGGCCTAGCTCAGCTTCTAAAGGGGAGTAAAGAAATGGTTTGTTTCTTTCTTTTTTCTCTCTCTTATTTTTTTCCCTTTCTTCTGAACGTTTTTGAAGACTTTAATTCTTCTCCCTTCTCTGCCCTACGCCTGTGCGTCTGAGTGAAGAAAGTGCTGATTTAGACATTGAATTGAGTTCATTCCACAAGGAGGAAGAATCGCTGGAGACGCGCTCTAGGCACTTCTGGAAACGTTTTCATTCATTCATGTTCCCTTTCTCTCTTCTTTTGTTTTCTTCCTTTTCTCACTTATTTAGTGAGCGCCCGCTCTGTACCAGGCCCGTGCCAACCTCGGTCTAGCAAAAAACATTCCTGACTCCTGCTCGCGTGGAGTTTAATGTCTGTTCATGAGTGCAAGCTGCTTCCCTGACCAACTGTGCGGCCTTGCCCAAAGGTTTATTGAGCTCCTTTTCCGTGCCAGGCACTGTTTTAGGCCCTGGGGAGGAGGAGGGAGAGCACAGGAAACAAGCAGGGAAAAAGCAAACCAGGAAAAAGCGCTGTGAAGAAAATACAAAATAGAGTGATGTGATAGTGATCGGAGGTGGGGCTATTTTAGAAATGCTTCTGTTTTCTTGAATAGTCGTTTTTGTAATAATAAGAATACCTACCTATCTTCTCGGGAGGAAGATGTGGCAGTCTGCCTCCATAAAAATTACAGCCTTGGAAACCCTATGGGGCAGTTCTACTCTGTCCTATATGAGTCGGAATTGACTTGATGGCAGTGGGCACTATCTTCTAGTGTTATGACAATTACGTAAGAAAACGCGCAGAGGGGAAGTGGATTGCGGCTTAGGGAGGAAATAATGTAAGCATGTTTAAGAACTATCTTTTTTTTTTTTAAATTTTTTTTATTGTACTTTAGATGAAGGTTTACAGAACAAATAATTTCTCATTAAACAGCCGGTACACATATTGTTTTATGATATTGGTTAACAACCCCATGACATGTCCACAGTCTCCCTTCTCGACCTTGGAGGACCTTTTTTTTTTTTGGTGAAAATATACATAGCCAAAGTTACACCATTTGAAAAATTTCTACATGTACAATTCAGTGACATGGATTACATTCTTCCAGTTGGGCTGCTATTTTCACTATCCTTTTCCAAATTATTCCATCACCATTATTTAAGAACTATCTTGATTGTTTCTACGTATGTTCCATCAAAGGATGCTCATTATTGAGTGTATATAAATATGCAAGGGGTAGAAAGGGGAATATGAGTACTCCAAACACAAACTCCAGATTTTATATAAAGGGTTTTGGGAAAGGGCTGCCTTTAAAACATGTATTTTAAAATAAGTTTCCTCAATGTTAATTTGAGAATTCTCAAATATCTGATTGTTTACTCTATGACATTATTGGATTCCTATAATAAAAGTATATAGATCAGACTTTTCTTCTGTCTGTGGTTATTGGACTTTTTCTGTCTCTATTATTGTTTTGCCAGTTTTGGGGGAAACATCAGGCATTTGATTTATTTTAATAAATTTGCCTTCCCTTCAGCAAATTCCTACCCTGGAAATCTGCCAGACCATGCATTTTGTGAATGAAATACTTGTATCTGTGAGATTTCTATGAAACAGCATTGTTGAATGCCTTTTATTAAATCATAGTGAAATGCCTGATGCAGCTAGTGAATTGGGTGCTTGAATCTTGAATTGTGTTGCATCTGGCACGAATTTCAAACATGTAAGTTACATTTAAACTCTCATATTTAAAAAAAAACAAAGCAGTTTTTCTTTGCCAAGAAATATTATACTTTATGAATAGTTTTCCCTTGTATTTAATATTTTTTCTTAGTGTAGAGATTACAAGCCATATCTGTGGTATAAAAGATTAATTGTGGACTTCTTTTTGGTGGCTGCTAAATCTCTGATTAATGAAAAAATTTTCCAAATAAAATGAAATCCCTTAAATAATTCTCAGTTGGAGAAAGTGAATACAACTCTGTTGAAAATATGATAAATATACTTCTTGCTGAAACTGAGAAAGAATGATTAATTTCCTTCTGTAGTAAAATGCTTCTTTTTCTGCATTGAAGAAATAGTGGTTTAGTGACACAAAAGAACAGAAAACAGTTCTGAATTTCAGAAGTTAAATCTTCATGACTAAGGAATGATAATTTCTCTATCTGGATTTTTTTTTTAACTTGAAAACTGAAGCATCTATATAAAATGTTAACCTAGAAATACGTTGAACAGCTAACACTAGGACATCAGCAAGACTTGATATTTGAGGAGACAAAATTTCTGTCGTATAGGATGTTGTCAAAGAAAGTACTTTTTCTTTATTGGTCACGTCTAGCCCTTTCAAGTCGAATAGGTTGCACAAAGGGAGACAAAAGAGGATGGTTTATTGACTACTCCTGTGTGTTTTGTACTTTGCATCTATGTATCTTACTCAGTCCTGTGAAGGAGCTCTCATGGGGCAGTGGTTAAGCCGTCAGTCGTTAACTGAAAGGTCAGCTTTTGAACCGACCAGCTACTCTTCGGGAGAAAGATGCGGCAGTCTGCTTCCATAAAAATTGCAGCCTGGGAAACCGTATGGGGCAGTTCTACTCTGTTCTGTAGGGTCACTATGAGTTGGAATCGACTTGATGGCAATGGTTTTCTTTTTCTTTTTTTTCGGGGGGAGGTATAATCCTATGCAGTTGTTGTTGCTGGCTGCCTTCGAGTCGATTCCAACACATAGCAACCCCATGTGTCAGAGTAGAACTGCCCCATAGGGTTTTTCTTGGCTGTAATCTTTATGGAACAGATTGCCAGGTCTTTCTCACGAGGAGCCATGCGTGGGTTCGAACCGCCAACTTTTTGGTTAGCAGCCAACTGCTGCATCCACGGAGCTCCTTAATCCTATGCGGTAGTTATTTTTTACAGATAAGGAAACTGAGGCTTCAAAAATGTAAGAAACTTGCCTGATGTAATGCAGCTGGTACAATGCAGAACCAGGGTGGAGTAGTTTCGCTGGACTCGAAAGTGCGTGTACTTCTCTTTGTCACAGACTGCCTCTTTTAAGGGGAGGTTCCTGAGAAAACGCGGCTCAGGTCAGTCAAGAAACACAAACATCATTACTATCCGGGGGTGCACATTACTGGTGGGAGCACATGAGAAGAGAGGCTTCAAACCTCCAAGACTATCACCCTTTAAACTATGTACTGAAACCACACCTGAAGGTCACCTTTCAGCTAAATAACAGATTGTCACATAAAATAGTCACCCGAGAGTACAGTGCTCCTTTAAAAAATCATCTCTATGAGATCAAATGGTCAACGTTTACCCAAAAGCAAAGATGAGAATGTAAGGGGGGCAGGGAAGCCAGATTAATGGAAACGGGACAACCAGAATGGAAATAATGAGTATGTTGACATATTGTGAAAAACGTAACCAATATCACTGAATAATATGTATGTTGTTGTTGTGGTTGTTAGGTGCCATCTAGTCGGTTTCAACTCATGGCAACCCTATGTACAACAGAACGAAATACTATCCAGTCCTCTGCCATCCTCACAATTGTTGCTGTGTTTGAGCCCATTGTTGCAGCCACTATGTCAATCCATCTCATTGAGAGTCTTCGTCTTTTTCACTGACCCTTTACCAAGCATGATGTCCTTCTCCAAGGACTGACCCCTCCTGATAACATGCCCAAAGTACTTAAGGTGAAGTCTTGCCATCCTCGCTTCTAAGGAACATTCTGGCTGTACTTTCTTCCAAGACACATTTGTTCATTCTTCTGGCAATCCATAGTATATTCAATATTCTTTGCCAACACCGTAATTCAAAGGCATCAATTCTTCTCCAGTCTTCCTTATTCATTGTTGTTTTTGCACACATATGAGGAGGTTGAAAATACCACAGCTTGGGTCAGGTGCACTTTAGTCCTCAAAGTGACATCTTTGCTTTTTAATACTTTCAAGAGGTCTTTTGTAGCAGATTTGTCCAATGCAATATGTCATTTGATTTCTTGACTGCTGCTTCCAAGGGTGTTGATTGTGGGTCCAAGTAAAATGAAATCCTTTACAACTTCAATATTTTCTCCATTTATGATGATGTTGCTAGCTGTATAGAAGTTGTTAAATAGGAACCTAATTTACTGTGTAGAGGAAACCCTGGTGGTGTAGTGGTTAAGAGCTACCGCTGCTGACCAAAAAGTCGACAGCTTGAGTCCACCAGGCGCCCGCTGGAAACTCTACGAGGCAGTTCTACTCTGTCCTGTAGGGTCACTATGAGTCGGAATCAACTTGACGGCAACAGGTTTGGTTGGTTGGTTGTTTTTTTAATATACTGTGTAAATTTTCACCAAAAACACAGTAAAATGTTATAATTAATTTTTAAAGAAGAAAAGAGGCTTCAGAGTAAAATATCTCTTCTCTCTCTTTCCTTGTTAGTACCTAGTGAGTGATCAAATTCCATCAGCGGCATCCTCTTCGATCATTTCTGGTTTGCTACATTGATGTCTATGTTAATTCTCCTTTTCTTAATATCTTCATCTTCCAAAACACCCCACGGCCTGATTAATCTAAATGAAGACACATGTGTAAAGCTTTTCACACAGAGCCTGGCATGTAGTCAGTTCTCAATAATATTAGTTTCCTTTCCTCACACATAAAAACTAAGGACTACACAAATATTAACAGATATCAATCTGTCAACATCTACATGGCCTTACTAAGAGCCCAGTGCTCAGCACTGTGCAGGGTTATGGAGGATACAAAGCAAATACATGAGCTGGCCTGTTCTGTCAAAAAGTATGTAGTCTAATTGAGACAGG